GGACAGTATCATTATCGAACGAGGTGCCCCGCCGAGATCATCTGTTAGGTAGTCGCTATTGGGTAATTATGTCGAGACAGCCCTTCTACACGCTACGATTGGAAGATCTACGGTCAAAACGAGACCAACTAACTATAATAGTACTCGCATATGCGAAATTAAGGAATTACCCTATATTCCTATGTAACACTGTGTTACATTTATGATTAATACATATCTCGTCCTGTACATCTTGCGGTTTTTGTCGTTTGAGCATGTTTCGCTCCTTGAATCCGTACCAACGCTCCCCAAGACAGATGCGCCCCGCCCCCGGCCCCCGCGTCCATGACGATGATTAGGGACAAAACGTCCTCTCGCTCTCGTAATCAAACAAAACCCGCTGACTTTTCACAACAATGCTTCCCGGACGCAGAATGGGCTGATTGAAGCCGTGTAAAGTCGGCTTACATCCCCGTATTTCATCCGTTCCACCCTCGATTCTTACCCAGGCAGGCGCGTACTCGGACATATTTCGTCTCATTGTTTTCGTTCATGTGTGTCTTGGACGGACTGATTAAACCGGGGCAAGGGGGGCCGAACGACCGACTCGGCTCGATAAAAAGCGCATGCATTTGTTGTATCGACGGAGGAACGGTCCGGTAATGGAAGGACGGTGAAGAGGGTCACTTGGGCAAATCTGGTCGGAGGATCTCGGGGCACGCATGGGCGTGATGGGAGGCACGCGGCGAACTAAATGCTATCGTATTGTCGCCGGTGGGACTGCTACAAAGTACATGTTTGTCGTGAGGATTAAAAGGAATGGAGTTAATAGGGGACGGGGTGAGTGCATTAACAAATAGGGAGGTGGGGGCGGGCGCGGAGACAATGGACGGAGTGTGCTCGGAAAGCAATTTCTTACACGTGAAAGAGATGTGCAGGGTTTGATGCTGGCTGGAGCAATGGGCACTCGACAAGAACAGCCTATAGAGCAGAATATAAAGCAGGAGGTAGAAAGCTTTAGCGTTTCTTACATTTTGGAACATTATAGTGTAGTTTGACGATATGAAAATCACTTACAATTTACAAATAAATTAATAAACAACTTTCTAGACAGAAAAAAATTAAAAAAAGATTTTTCCTGCTGGGTGCTCTTCGTCATTAAAATTTAAAACTTGCGTTATCACATTATCTACCTTAATTCGGGAGTACAACAAAATTGCCAAATATTTGACGATTATAGGAAATCTTTAGTCGCACGCTCCCCCCCTTCATTAAAAATCCATGCTCCGCCCCATAAACTCGGAAAAATCAGCGCCGACTTATCCCTGATTTTCCGTAATGAATCGAGTTGGGTAATTACAGGTGATAAAGACCACCTGCGGCCCGCAATAACCGGGGTGTTACCGGCGCATTTAAGAGTTTTCGTCGTGCCTCCGACTGGAAGGGGATTTTTACCCTATGCAAAAAGGAAACATAATCTTTGCGTTCGTCCGTCCACTCATCGGCCACATGGCGGTCGCGTGCCACGAACTCCACCAAGTGGCACGTGCGACTCATCTGCGTCAAGGTGGGGCTTCGCCCATCTGCCCATATGGGGTAGCAAAAAGCCAAAAAACCCGTCGGGAAATTCACATAAACAATCCGCCTTTCGTTTATCCCCAGGAACCACCAAGACAATAAAAACCTTTAATTATACGCAGCAAGAAACCTACATTTCCGTATTCCACGACCCGCCGAAAAAATCTCGACATCCGTAATTGACGCTGTTAGAACATGGCTCCAAAGATATCGAAGAGTGTAGATATGAAAAATATTTGCCGCCTTTGTGCCTTGGAATCACCACCGGTTGAATAGGGGCAGCGCAGAAAGACGCTCCTCGCCGCCCCCAGCGATGATTACGTCGGGAGCGGCTCCCGTCCTCCCCGCTCTAATCATGCTGAGTGCCAGCTGAATGGAAGCCGCCCCCGCACACGCATCATCGACCGCCGCCTCATTTGCCTGCAACCCTAAAGGACTAATACACACATGTATCGATATGTTGTTGTTGCTCGTGGGGGTACCTTAATAACGATAAAAGCAATGGGGTTGCCGGGGCGGTGGAACTTCTTCACACAGAACAGAAGAAACGTCAAGAAATTGTAAAATACGTAAAAGTACTATCTTAAAAAGATAATATAGTGTGTTGTAGCTAAGTTGTTGATGATTAGTTAGTACTGACAAACAAATTGTTTTTATGCAGAATTAATTATTTTTTAATAATGTAATAATAATTATTCTAATGATAATTGTAACAATTTGTGCACGTGTTACTGTATTACAATATTCTATAAAACATCGATATGTTGCGCAACGTGGATGTTACGTCACCTACTGGGTAAACACTGTGTGCACACCTCTACGGCAAGATTACAAAACGGGCGTTTTTTGCTAAGAACCAAAAATATGGATCAAAAATTTGAAGCGTAAAGTTCCTGGTGTCGAATTGCTGGCAAAACTTTTCCCCCATTATGTGTTTTTGATGGAAATATTCCTGATCGATGAAAGTCCGAGTCCGATTAATTATCCTAATGAATACCGCGGAGGAGTTTATTATCAAAAATTGGAAATGTTACTCTCGACTCAATTCGATATTAATCCTCGATGTTTTATGCTCGTTGGAAGTTTATTTTTCCCAAAGCAAGAGACTCTCAAAATAATTAAAAGGGAAGGGAGGTTTTAGTAAATTAGAGTAAAGTGTCAAGGTCGCAAAATTTCTCAAGGTTGTTGTTGCTCGAATTGTCACGTGGCGACAAAATGTCCGATAAATAAAAACTGACAACCTTGAGGAGTTATTAAAATGGAGTCCTCGGATTTTCTGCTATCGGGTTGACTAAGAGTCTACATATTTATCAGTTATTGCAGTTTCTGCATATTTTTTAAAACCTCATATTTTGTTCTTCGCGCATTTCGATAACAAACCAAAAATCTTAAACTTAAAACGTCTAAAAATTTTATTGTAAAACTTTGGATGTATGGGTTTTAAAAATTTATATAATTTCAGTCATCACTTATTCGGCCTATCCCTAAATTAATAAGATCTAAGACACTGACCTGAAGAAAATTTTGGACTCGAAATATTTTGTACGTTGATCATTTGAGCTTGAATAGTTTTACTGACGGAACTAGTTCTCTATTTTAATTTGGTTAGTACAAGATTAATTACATTTCTCTAATCTAATCTATTCATTTATCAATACACCATTCAGACCCACTCGATTTGTTCGTAATTCATAAAAACAATCATGAATGTGTTACCTATAAGATAGTTCATTGATAGTTTGTGGTACATTGACGATTGAACAAAACGTCTTTAATTCTCGATATCACAATCGGAAAACAAAAAACAAGATAAACTACTCCATCATTACTGTGTTAATTTCGATGTACACGGATTTCTCGACGTCCATATTTAATCCCTAGGATTTTCATCACTGATTTTAATTTTTATGTTGATATTAGATTATTCATTATTTGCATTTGAATCAAATTGTCAGTTACGTCAAAACTCCTACTTGCACAAAAAAACTTGGAACATATCAAAACTCGTTGTAACACCAGGTTTTTTCTCCATTTTTAATTCAAAAAAAGGTTTCAATTCTCGCAGTTGTGTTACCAAATTAGTTAAACCTTGAGGAGTTGATTTGAGGACGATAAAACCCAGTCGTTTAGGGTTGAAGGGATTTGTTTGGTAATTTTTTTTTTTTTTTTAGAATATTAAAGTTAACAAACGCAGCAATTGAATGAATAAAATTAACGAAAACATGTAATAACAATCACTAACCTGAAGATTCTGTAGATTTAAACCAGACGAAACGAGTATTCGAAATCTTTGGTATTTTGGTCATCTTGCCACCGCCAACGGGTCACGTAAGATTGCTAACGTAACTATTTTTTTACGTTTGCAACCTACAAGTTTAAAACTAAATATATTCCCTAATCTAATCTGTGAATTATTATTATCAACGCCTATTCATATCGTAGGATCTATTCATAAAAACAAGCGTCCACATTTTACGCAGAAAATGGGTTAATCGACAAATAAAACTCATTCAGTAGTGGTTCATTTAAAAAACCACCAAATCGAATATTTAAAACCTAAATAAAATTTCGAAAGAACACACTATTCTAGGTGCAACTTTCTCAACTTCAGTTTTTTTAATGGTGAATCAGAACGAAAAATAAATACGTGAAATGCCGATTTTCGTCTGGGGCTGGAAATGTGGCGAACGCTTAGAGTTTTTTGTAGTTTTTGGTCTGAGATCCAATCCAATCACGAAGTCTTTAAAAAAATTAAAGCCATTACATCATCGCTCTAAATTTTGACTAATTCCAGGAAATTTTATCTCGTTCCGATAACTCTCCTATCGCAGGTGTTAAAAACGAAGTTGGTGTTTACGATTTTGCTATTAGCGATTAAAATATCTTGGCCGCGGTCAGCTGCAAAAGTGTAAACAGTCGCGGCACCCTCGCGTCGGCCCACCGCCCTCCTCGATTGCCGGTGGCCACCTCTAATACCACCCTCATTAAAAACCCTAAAACCTCTCATCTCCGGTGTCACTCCTCCTAAAATTACACTTGTCCGCTGGGTGTTTGCGCGCTTTTTAAGACACGTGCCCGCCGATCTGGCCCACGTGCCCGGAGTACTCCGGTTACTGCAAAAGCAACAGTGGCCGTTCACATGGGAAATCTGTTTAATCTCCCCGATCGTAATTAAGTTAGAATTGATGCGCATTTTCGCTGCCAAAAGCCGAATCGATTCACCGCCGGCGGTTTTCGGCCGTAATGAAGACAAAGCAGCGACGGAACGACAAGCGATGGCGATGTGCGGCTAAACGCATTAAGGGAAAAGGTTTATATGGAGCTTTTGCACCAAGAAAATTCAGTCTCGAAAAGACGGCCGCGAGGCGAGGTGGCCGTGGCGAAAATTCCGCGAGTATTCCGCGTGCGGGAAAGCGCGTCGCCGGCCGTAGTGAAGATGTTACCTTCGAGCGCCTTGTTCCTGGCCAGGAGGGCGAGCAGCACCTCGGAGTTGGGCGGCCCGTCCATGGGCGGCATGCTGGGGGGCATTCCTTGGATCAGCGGGAGCCCTCTGGACTGGTCCAAAATGGACATATTATCACAAAGCACTCTTTTCACAAATCACCTCAAATCGTCTCGCGGAGTTCAAAGTCGCTCTCGGTTATGATTTTTTTGCCCTTTTGGCCAGCATAGCGCCGTTAATTTCCGTACGTATGTCTCATGTAGGTTATATTTTTCAATTTGCGTTAAGTTAGTCTGGTCCGTTTAATTTCACTAAGTGTTTCACCCCGAGCCCTGAGATTCACTGTAGTAGTAAAGGAGTCTGCCTACCTCGCTCCCTCCACCCTGCTGCCAACGACGCCATTATTGAAATCAGTCTTGATTATGGAGCCGTGACGTCACGAGACGGCGGGCGTCGGCGCGAACTCGGGACACTCCCTCGCAGGACGTCCTCTCTAGTCCTGCGGCAGGACGAGGACGATACGCAGGAACTGGAAGCAGGGGGTGAAATATGTCGATGTGCGGGGCGAATTTTTTATGAGGGAATAGTGGAAATGAATGATGATAAGATCGAGTGGGACGTACGCTGCGTTGTGGATTTTGCCAAGATCCGACGAAAAAAAAAAGCAAAGCTCGAAATTCGACGGATAACAAAAACGCTTGATTTCTTCACAAATTTCGATTTTATTCGATAGAATCGACGGAGATAAATAATCAGAAAATATCGCCGGGTTTTTGTGAATGCGATTTGGTGCTCGTCGTGGAGAAAATGGATATTTACTTGTGTAGCGAAACAACAGAATAGGTTTTTTCTCATCCAAGATGGAAACTTGCTGAAAAGGGTCGTCGTGCTGGGCATATACAAAATTTGGGTGTCCCCTCTGGGTTTAGAATCTTTACGAAGTAAAATATTCTAAAATTTTTGTTAGAAACACCGGACGGACACAAAATAGATCCAAAGAACTTTTGTGACCTTTCGTAGTCTTTTTGCACAGTATATGAATTTGACCAAACTTACTCGATATACGGTACACTCTTTTAGACGGTCTTCGGTCACAATTTTAGAGAAAACCAGAGAAATTTAACGAATCTACACTAATCCACTGGAACATTTTTCTACTCTTTTATGCAGATATTAAATCAAAAAGAAATAAATACTTTTTATATATAAAAATAATAGAAACAGTATTTTGTGATTGTTATAATTAAACATTGTCAGAAAAACTTCAATTTTACGTTAATAAATTCGAATTTTTTAAACAAGTTGTTAATTATTTTTTCTCTGTACAACACATCATTTTCTCTTATTTTAGAAAAATAGGAATATTCGACATAAATTGTTGGGAAAACTCCTTCATGTTACAACAAGCAGGAACGACAATTTTTTAAACCATTAAAACCTTTGACATACACAGATCACGGTTTTCGCCGCTCCTTGATCACTGTTTTAATAGAGTGATCAAGCCGCGACAAAATTAAAACTTAACGGTGGCTAAAATTGGAACTATATATGTATTACAAGTTGTTGAAAATATTTATTCTTTTAAATAAAAGAGAAAAATTCTGCTGTTTTATTGTTCTGCGTAAGAATACAAAACCGTAAATGACAAACATAAGATTTATTTTTGAGAGGAAAAAAAAACAAAACAAATACAGCAACTTTGAATCGTTTTCCTTTCACCACAAAATTGGATGGGTTCGCATGACTTGTCAAAATACAGTTTTGTGCGGCTCGAGTAACTGTTACAGTACCTTGAATTTGGCAATAGCAACTACTAACCGCTTTATTGAACTAACGGATTTTCATTGGTTTATTATAGTGAAAAGTGAATGATACACAAATTACCAAAGTGTGGAAACATTAATTGGAGTGGGTTTTTTCTCTAACGTTCTTGGATCGTGAGCCGTCGTTTCCGTATTACGTCTACAACAGAATGAAATTTAACTAATGTAAATAAATTTTAACGAAGTTCATTTTCTCCAACTTTTACACTGTGGATTGATATTACGGGATTAGAGAGGTTGATTTTTGGTTTCCGATAACACTGCCGCCTTGGTGAAAATGGTTGTAGTCCCCATTGTGTATTAGTAGTTGCATTCAGTTGTATTTAGTTGTTAAAAGCCGATGTTGTTAATTTTACCAACTTTTTTTCTATGAAAAAATGATGAGTCAGACTATTGATTTCAGGTTAAAACAAAATAGGAAATAAACAAAAAATAAATAAATAAATCAACATTGGAAGTGTTGAATGAATGGTGCATAACTGCAAAATCTATGATTATATTAAATACTACCGAACAAAGAAAGTTGGTCTCTTTAAAAAAAAACAAACGGTCAAGACATGTTTGCGATCGTCCTACTAACTTTGGAAACAATAGGTTTCGTCTTCACTTTCTATCGCCAAGTTCAATATACCACAATCGTCGCCGAAGAAAGTTAAAATTCCTTCCGGTAAAAATTCTCACCGGAGTTTAATTAAGCCTCAATCGCCGCCAAATATTCCAATAATACCGATCGCCTCTCGGTGCACGTGAAGGCTAAAATCATCTCGAAGGAACAATCGCTCGACGCGACAATTAGCATAGTGAAAGTACCCAGTTCTACATAAACAAACATAATACGTAATTAAAATAAAGCAACTCATTATATCGCCGTAAATTTTTCCCGTTCGCGTTCCGCTGGTTTCTTACAAATAATCCCAGCGCCAATATCAAGGCCAATCTTGCAAATGCATTTATTCCGTCGAAAACAATTACCGCCTTATGCAATCCCGCTGGCAAAAACCGCTGCCGCACTCCTCCAGTCGGCAGGACGCGATTATTCGATAAACAATAAATAAATCAAGCCGCGGGGGCCCGAACGCCCCCGAGGCGCGCGCCACCCCCCGCCGACAGCCGCGACACCCCGCCATAAATACCAATCTACTTTTTCGCTGCCGGTGCAAGACGATCGGAAAAATTCGAATTATGAATAACATATCGATTGTTTTTTCCGGACGCCGGTGCTTGGGGATTTTTCGTGGCATGTCGATGTTGGCGCGTCGTCATGGAGACGCCGCACCATTGCTGCCAACCACACCCAGAAATATTAAACACCACCAAGTCGCCCCCGTGCCTTTGTGAGGACGGCTTTTATCGGAAAACATTTTTCGGGATGTTTTCGAGGGACGATTTGTTCTTTTTCGCGCTAGAGGGTTTACTTTACGCCTTCGATGAGGGGATCGATTGGCAGCGGGGTGCGCCGGAAAGTGCGCCTTTTTCGGGTTTCGGCGAAGCTGGAAGACGCGAAGGCGGACGGGGGAAGTTTTCGGGTTTCGGGAGCTCGCTTTCTGGGGCTTAAGGAAACGGAGACGCCGAAAACGTATCTTCGCTCATAATGGTTCAGGTTTAACGCTGTAAACTAACGGGGTGGGAATAGAAGTGTGAGGCATTTGTTAAGCTGTGCGCTTTTTGGAAAATTGTTAAAATCTCAACATCAACGGGAAAACCCGTAGTATTAACACAAGTCGCGAGCTTTTTTGAATTAATTCTTCACGAATCTACTCATCAATCTTTTGAAAAAAGCATTACTCCCGGGTATGTGTAGTTTAATAAGAACGCATATCAAGATAAACGTTTCAAGCAAAGAGTGGTCATGCAAAACTGCGGTAAACACCTGGCTTTCATCCGAATGCTTGAGTCGAGCTCCAAAATAAGAATCCGTCGAAAATTACGTAGGGTATTTTAATGCTTTCCAGAGTTTCACAATCATGTCTTTTCCAAAAGGAATTTACTTTTCTTCAGATATGAAACTAACTCGTACTGTGAGTTACTCTTATGACGAAACGTTAGGGGTCATAAAAGGTTTCGTAAACATATGGATTAACGAAAAGGAAATCAATTACAAATTTTTTGTGTACGGATGCACACTTTTAGGACCTTTCCAATTTCTAATGACAACATTTTCGAATCGGACGAAAACTTATGCGACATCATCGTGGTGGACGATGTCAGAATTACTCCCGGGTATGTGCACTTTAAGAACGGATATCAAGGTAAACGTTTCAAGCAAAAAGTGGTCATACATAACTGTGGTAAACACTTGGCTTTCATCCGAATGCTCGAGTCGAGCTCAAAAGTGAGTATCCGTCGAAAATTACGTAGACTATTTTAATGCTTTCCAGAGTTTCACAATCATGTCCTTTCCAAAAGGAATTTACCTTTCTTCAGGTATGAAACTAACTCGTACCGTGAGTTACACTTATGACAAAACGCTAGGGGTTCTAAAAGGTTTCGTTAACATATGGATTAACGAAAAGGAAATCAATTACAAATTTTTTGTGTACGGATGATAATATTTGGAAAATAGTAACGTGCAAACACATTTTTAGGACCTTGACGCAAACCATTCTTTCGATAGAGCCGCAACAAGTAGATTTCGGTAATCTAGATGCCGTGAACCGAGCGTCTTCTAGAACTTTTTATCTAAAAAACTCTGGTTGCAAAGGATCAATGTTTGCTATAGATTTGGGTCGGAACCCTCTAGGTCTTATGGTTCAACCCATGAAAGGAGTAATTTCGGTACCACCGTAACATAACCTTCATTTTTACTTTCTTCATCAGTCCTTCTTCAGACAATAAGTACTGTGCCCATAACGATAGAAATCGTTGGTTCCAAGGTAGGAGATTTCTTAGAAGAGTTATGGCTGAAAACAGTTCCTCCGTTGAGGATCGTAGTCATGGGAACGTTTATCGAACCTAAAATTGTCCTACGAAAATGGATCAGCGGCTTAGACTTCAATCTAATGCATTTCAGTTCCTCTTACTACGGTGCTGGTACTACAAGACCGCTCTTTATTAAAAATTTTAGCTCATCGCATTCGATGTATTGCATAATGGCAGAGGTCAGGGGTACTACTATGGTACGTACTTGGGATTATAAAAATCGATTCTTTAAAACTGTGTGTTAGACTTTGGAAGAAGCAAGAAAAATCGACGATAATTATCGTAACTTTTGCGTAAAACCGCTAGCCATCATTCAAATATCGTAAGCTTACGTCTCAAGTCTTTTCTTACCTTCATGTAAAATCTTAGATTCACGCCGAAGGCTGAGCCGAAAAGCGTATAACACTACGCCGCATGTTTCTTGAAGATAATTCGCATGGACTGCAAGGACGTGGATATATACGGTACTTTTGAATCGGATGAGGCTGACCTCTTATCGCCAATTCTTTTTAGAATATTCAAATGAACTTCATCGAGATATGAGCGACGTTGCCTCGTACGCCCCCAGCAGAGACTTTTTTTAAGGAAAACAGTACGAACACTAT